CTGTGAAATTACCTATGCAAACATACGGGTGCCCGTAGACGAAGACTACAGCACCAGTGCAGCTAGACTTACTTACATAATAATATACTATTATATTATAAAATATTAATTATAATAATATAATATATTAGGCACCATTAATCATTATTAATATCAATTGTATTACTGCAGAACTCAGAAAGTATACATAATAATATAAATATCTATATAGGTGGGTACTTTCGAGTTAATATTTTAGAATCCAGTAAAAAACTAAGTAAAACTAAGAAAAAAAAGAAGGCATAGCACATGACCTAGGCTATAGGTCTAATAAATGGACCAAATTAATAATTTTTAATAATATTATTATAAACGCGCCATGGAAACGGCAATATAAATATTATAAACTATTAAAATAAATAATAATATATAATATTTATATGATAATTTATAAAAACTAATAATATACCAACAAAAATACTATGTCAACTCCATGTAAAAAAAATGTAATTTAATTTAATTCTTCGTTTTGCGCACGGAGTAAACAATTACCCCAGACGTATTAATACAGTATATTAATAATTTAATATGATAATTTATAAAAGACTAATGAACTTTAACTTATCATAGTTATTTTTTATTTAAGGATAACTTAACTTTAACTAGTTAAAAAATTGGTTAACTTGCCCAGCTTTGCCATCATCCACATGATGTTATAATAAATAATAATATCTTATAAGTTATAATATTATATTTAATATTGATCGCATTGTATGATAGAAGGATAGAACAAATTTACATAATATACACGATATTTATTATTTTCTACCATAAGCATTATAAATTATATTATTCATAGCTTTTAAACAGAAATTCAATTATAGCCTATAGGTTTATTTTAAATGCGTAGAACTTTTTAAATGTTAGATATTAATGTTATAATTTTTCGACTTCCGTTTCGGATATCATGTTATTTCTTAAGATTTCGTCTTAAGTTTCAAAAAACGGTATTATTTTTTCCGATTTCGATTTCGGTTTCAGATATCGGTATTTATGTTTTCCGATTTCGGTTTCGGTTTTGGATATCGGTATTTATGTTTTCCGATTTCGGTTTCGGTTTCGGATACCGGTATTTATTTTTTCCGATTTCGGTTTCGGTTTTGGAAACCGGTATTGATTTTTTCCGTTTTCGGTTTCGGTTTCAGATACCGGTATCAATTTTTTCCGATTTCGGTTTCGGTTTTGGATACCGGTATTATTTTTTTCCGATTTCGGTTTCGGTTTCGATTTCGGTTTCGGTTTTTAACGGTTTAAACCGGTATTCAAAACCGGTATCAAAAATCGGTTTCAAGCCCTGACTGTAGGTAATGTAAATAAATTATGTCTGTAGGTTGAATAAATCTACTTTGTCGAAAACCATGTAATTGTTAATAACATTTGTTGGTGCTTAGTAAAATAAGTGAACCTTATATTAAATGTTCAGGTTTCAAAAATAGCAATCACCTATAATAGCTTTAAATCTATTAATCTGAATATATTTTAAATATGCACTGCTTGTGGGCGATATACATATTATATTATATGATATATGGTAATATTTCAATATTTTCAGTGGAGTATTGTGGTCAAACACTATTATGCAATTACTTCGGTAAGATATTTAAATTGGCTCAGGTGAAATAAATGGATATATATACCCACTAGTCACTACCCATGTTGAATATATGATAACTGATAACTATTTACCTCTCTTTTGCAGTTTTTAATCTTTCTTCTAACGTTTTGTATTTTATCCTTATTTTTTGGAGCTTGATTACATCTTTTTGAGCTAAAATACCAAGCTCAAAATGTTGCTGCTGGTTTTTTAATTCTTTGATCAAAACAAAATCGTATACATATACGATATGGTCTGTTTCGATGCTGAATATTCCGGCTTCACTAGTGTGCAGTTTTTTATTTTAATAATATAGGCACTCTAAAAGTTTTCTAGGTGTACCTAGTTTAAATTTTTAATAACAATGTAAAGTAAAATATAGGTACATACAGTGAGTCATATACCTACATGTACATTACTTTGCACGTTTTTCAGACGGTTAGTTCCCAGGGCTTAGTGTCTAGCCATCCAAAGTCTGATGAGTAAGAACCTAGGAAAAGTGGTATTAGGAAAAATATTATTCGGCCAAATTATGGAATTTGTTATCAATCCATATACAGCTGGTTTTTTTTGTCAGCCAAGTGGGATTCGATGAAATGGGATGAAAATGTATTATAGAAAAATTATTCAAATTAAAAAAACCTCAAATTTTGTTTACAATACCTACACTTATACACAAAAACAAATTGATCGTGCTTTGACACATCAGTTGTTGAATTCAGTATAAGTGACTACATTTCAGCCAATTTCACATTAGAGAAGAGTTCAGTAATATAACGATTAACGATATTATTATAATTCAATAGACATTCTAGTATACAATTGATTGCGATTTTCGGATAACAAAATAATGTCACATAGAAGTACTTTATGTTTATAACTTCACAAGTTGATAAGTTAACGTATGTGATTGTAACCATTTTTATATTACCTATACGATTAGTGATTACTAAGACCAAGTATACCTACCTATTAAAATAACACCCACCCTAAACTTTTTGGCGGTTCAGTGAACCACAAAATGCATGATCAAGCGGCCTCTGTGTTCAAGAGGGTATGATCCAAAAATCTTGAAAATGGCAAAACTATGAAAATTGTATATTTACTATCAACAGGCACTAAAACAGTTATTCCCAACCTATAGTCCACAGACCACTTTTATCTTATAATCTTATAATCTTGGTGGTCTGTGAACCGTTATAATAAATATAATAATATAATGTATATTTTTTTAGTAGTACCTAATTTGGGTTAAATTATTAATAGTATTAAACTTTTACTTAAACTTGATCAATTGAAAACATTATTATAAGCCTGCTAGGTATAATGAATTTCATTGTTTTTCGTTTATTCTTAATCTAAATTTTAAAATGTGTGAAGTAAAATTATTTTTTTTATGGGAAAAATTAGTTCTGAAATTGAAGGGGGTCCGAATTTTTCTTTTTTGTCTAATATTTATATATTTTCAATGATCGTGTAACCCCTACCTACCTCTGACTATGTAGGTAGACATGTATGTATTATTTTTTACCTACCTTAATATTTGTTTACTTAATACTTGCATAACATTTTAAAAAGGTTGAATTAGTTTAATTATAAATGTGTAAAAAAATATTATTTATAAACCACTGCTGATGTAGGTAGGTAGTAATGTAGTGTACCTACAAATATAAAATTGAAAATAATAACAGGGCTTTTCAGTCATCGATGAACTAGACTACCAAACTAGACGTCCAAAATTGTTTTTGCACCATTCATGTGAAGTTACAACTATTTCTTTAATTAGATAGTAATTTGGTTAGCTCAGTGGAGTACGCAAAATTCGTTAAGGGGGGGAGGGGGTTACCATATTTTATATACAATTAAAAAAAAAAAAAAAATGTTTATACAATTGTATTCTTCTTATATCTAAAGACATGCACAATAGTTTAGTTGGTATATAATATTCATTATTATGTCAAATCGCATGATTCAAAGTAGATGGCAACGATATTACGATTACAAAATATTATCTATTATACACATTACATGCACACGTATATCTGTGTATGAACTTAGTACTTTGCTCATAAACAACCATGACCCATGTAATAAAATGTAACATGGAATGACAGTAATTATTTTTCGACAAAAATATTAACGTGTTATCGGGACCAGACTAGACCGATATACGGAACCTTTTAAAACCACCGGGAAGTGACCGACCGACAAAACGCATAATATGATCCTATAGTCTAAATATAATATTCCATAAAAAAAATCATTATTCGTATTTTACTTGGGGGGGGGGGGTTAAACCTCCCTTCCTCAAAGGGTCTCATGGAAATATGAAAACGAACTGGAAGACATGCAGACAGGGCTTATTCTAAAGCGCAGTTGGGCTTATTTTGCGTATTTGGAAAAATTGACGCGCACTTGATAATCAATTTTTGCGTACTGATTATTAATCTATGAAACTACTGAACTATGTTTATTATTAGAAATTGTAGGCAAGATCCAACGCTTTGGAGTTAGGGTTTTCTAAGAACACGTAATATCGAATACCGATAAGGCGACAATATTCCTTATTAATTTATTATATTTATAATATTTTATATTATGCCGGCTGCCGGCAGTACACATTCGCAGAATGTACCATTAATTAAGATTTGGTGTGCTGTTCATCGTTCAAATCTTGCATGGAAAGATGTAAGTTCTACCGTAGTAGAAGTATCTCATATCGTAAGTAAGTTATCAGGAATTTCTGCTTTTTATTATATATCTTTTTATTCATTTTAACATGCCTGCTCTTCAAAATTGGGACCCAAGACCAGCAATACAAATATGGTTAAACCAAAATGAACGCCGTATTAAAGAAACTCCTAAAGCCAAAGAACAGGAATGGTTCAGTGGGATATTTATGGAAGCGACAAAAAGAAAATCTGAAGACCAAACTGAACAAACGATTAAAAAAAGAATGTTCTAATAGTATTGTGTTATGTGTTATGTATATAAATTATAAATAGTATGAAAAAAATAAAGAGGATATTATTTAAAATACAATATTTTAAACGTGAATGTTTATTTTGTTCATAATAGGTTAAATTTTAAATTCTTCCACATTAAAACTAAAAATATTATCATTTTTAACTAGTTTGATATTACATTTCGAGATTATTATAGTTCTATTTTTATAGGCTTATTAAAAAAAAATGCGTAGTTGATAAAAATCCTTAGAATAAGCCCTGCATGCAGACAAATATGATGACTGGGAAGTGGCTACCACAGCGTGATATATTTTGTAATATATGGTGGAAATCAGTGTATTTCAGAATCAGTTCTGTGTATTGTTTTACAATTTTTAAGTAAACTAGCAAAGATATATTGGTTAATCTCTGAATGCAAGTTTTAGAAACCGCATGCATAAAAAAACATTTCCATGATCGTTGACGGATTTGAGACGTGACCGGTGATTGTGCGATCCATAAAGGCATTGGCTGGCAATTGGTGTGACATAAATCAAAGGCAAGTTGAGCTTAGTTGCAATGTACGACACACAATCTGGCTCAAAGTATTCAACGATGACAAGGTCGAATTCTGTACGAGCACTCCCCAACACTTCTTTCATTTTGCTATTCTCATACACTTGATCACACTGAATTCTACAAATTTCTACTCATCATTACAAACTCACCTATTATTGTAAGTCTTCTACTCATCATATGTTTTAGATACATGTCCATAAATTGCATAACCCCCTCTAAAGTTGTATCCACTTCGGTATAGTTTTCGCGGTTACCGTCGGTAAACTGTGTGAACACAGTGACGTTGTGGTGTCCGCTGTTCACCAACGCCCTCAGTATACCACTCATAAAGTTCCTGTGGCTTTTACCTTCGACTGTCTTCACGGCTAAAATTCTGGCACTCGACGCAGATTGAATACACGAACCGACAAGAGCCCAAATCATGATAGATTTTGCGCATTATATTATGTTGTAATTTTAAACCCATAACTTGAACGATATCGAGATATACAATTAGCGTGCGTAGTGTAATATTTGACGGTTGCAATATTTCGTTCTGTTTCAAGATTCAGTTCTTAAATTGATAATATATTAATATTTAGAATGATTTAGATATATAGTCATTGTTCATACAAACACTTTAAAGTTTAAGCTATAACTAATAATGACATATTTGATTTATTTAAGTACACTTGTACTGTATATAAATTCATAAGTCTTGGTGTTTTAGTAAAGGTGTCAGTGTAATTTTGTACACAAAAATACGCTTTACGGGAATAATGTCCTGTTCTGTAGATGTAGAATCAACCAAATTTGATAATTTTTTTTTTTTTGAATTAATAGAGGGTAATATTCTACAGGCCGCATCAAACTCTGTTTTTCAATATTTTTATCGCAAACTTTATAATATGTCTTCAAAAATAATACAATTTTAAGCATTTTTTTATAAATAATATTGTACTATTTTTGAAATTAAATAAATATCGGAGTTGATGCTGCTTTTAGGATTAGTCTTTCGGATAAAAAAATATTTATCAAAATCCGAAAAATCTACAGACTACAAGGTCTGAGAATTATCCCCGTGAAGTCATTTTTTTCGATATAATACAGCGCCTATCAATCCCTCCGCCCCGGCCCCCTAAATATATATTGGTATACATATGGGGCAGTACAATAGTGGAAAAGGTATTATAATTAAAGTGGCATCTAAAATATAAAATTTTAATTTCAAATCTTATAGAATTGCCGAAAATTTGAAAAAATGCCACCGGACCCCTTAAGCCTTAAGGATTACGACGAGGCACGAGGTACTGAGCTAGGTACTTTGATTTGTACATTCTAATATTCTATAGTTTCTATTTTTGTTTTAATATGGTCTAATAAGAACTTGATATCTTTTTTGATCTTAAAATCAAATTTGACTGTCATATAATTAACATTGTTAACAGATAAAACCAAATTCTGAATTTTATTCATCGTAATTGTGCTGATCTTAATGATATATTAGCTTTTAAGTCCATATATTGCTGTTTGGTATGTTCTATCTGTGAATATGGCTCAATTAAATTGTCTCCCTACTCAGCTGTACATAAGTATAAAATTGAAAATATTCAACAAAAGTTCTTACGATTTCTCTCATTTAAATGTTCCTTAGCTGGAGAGCCGCATTCTTTGCACAACCCTTTTTAACCTTGAAACACTTGAACAACGCCGCTTGTGATTAGATTTATATTTTTCGTATAAGCTCTTTACAGGAACATTTGACTGTCCTGAGCTCTTGAGTTGTTTCTCCTTCCATATTTCTCCCAATAAACGTAACACCAGGTCTAAAAATAAATTTTATCTAGTCAAAAAATTAACTAATTATTCAAGCAACACCCCCTCAACAGAATTATGAAAACTATAAATGATTTTAAACATCGATCTGTTCATATCACCAAACTCCAACTCTTTTAAAATGTATTGTAATACCATATACCTACTTGTAATTTCATACCTAGCTATTAGAATATTAATTGTATATTGTATTTCATGGTTTTTTAATTTTTAATCATTATTAATAAGATTGTTATCATTATAATATAATGTAATATGTAACTGGGCCTGGCCCGTTTAAAACTTAGATAAATAAATAAATAAATATAAACTTTAAACTTAGCAGTACCTTTTTTTTTTTTCAGTTTGAAACCGACGACACCGCGGGAATTGCTTTCGCATTAGGTACTTCCGCGGCGCCGTTATCGTTTATTTGATAAATCAAACAATTTGTACACACGGATGAGGTAGACGGGACAATCCCCGACTTACCCTCCCCCCTTCAACATAAAATTTTATACATTTACATTTTTTACAATTTTGTTTAATCGCCTTCCTCTTGTCTTCTCGGGCCGACCGGAGTCCGACACCCTGGCAGTCTCGTTCATGTCCACGTTAGCGAACCGACAGTAGTCCGCCGCTCTGGGTCACACGTTCTCTATCCTCCTTTTGGCGAGCCGACCGTAGTCCACCACTCTGGATTCGCGTTCTCGAATGTCCCGCGATAACTTAGCAGTACCTACCTATAGCATACCTATTGTTTTTAATATTGTTGTACATGTCTTTTTTTTTTATTATTATTATTTTTAAAGTTTTCCTGACAGTCAACTAAACTTATGTATATAAAATTACATTTTTTAACATTTGAAAATTGGATCTCTACATATGGTATAAATGGTAAGAACTAAGTATTAAAGTGTAACAATTTTACAATACGAACGATTACAAAGAGAGAAAGAAAAGAAAAAGAAAAAAAAAAGTTATACATGTCTTGCAGTATAACCTAACCTATATAATTTAATGATGCTTATATATTTAAAAAAACAATAATTGTATACCTATATAAAAACGAAATGTATATAATCACTTGAACGACTAACGAGTATACCTAATGACTATTATAGACATTAAACAGTTATTGATAATTAATTTGTTGAAATGTATCGTGCTATACCAATCGTTTTCTTTTTTAAAACTACGAATATTAACTGCAGAATATGCAAGTTTACTATTCTTTATGCTGTCATCCCAGCTTTTTTATTAGAACACCCAATAACACTGGCAATTTTGAAACATCTTAAAGTTTGGATAAACTTATTTTCCTGTCATTATATAGAAGATTTGCAATGTCTCATTATTAACGTTGCGCCTTTATACTGCTCTGCTTTAAGTTTTAATGCTATAGGTACGCATTCGGAATCTTGCGAAATAGAAGACTATTATAATATGCATCATTGAATCATAATGTTTTATGTAGGTAGGTAGGTACCTACTTGGATGTTTTTGATTTCAACTCAGTTACGCTATAAAATATAAATATTAACATACCTAACTTGATTCGACTCACTACAATTATATCGCTATAGGTACCTATTTGATTCCATGTGATATTATGTCTATTTTTGTGACTCGTTAATTGATAAGCGTTGATAATTTCAAATGTGTATAGGTATTGTTGTTATCACTTACCATGCTGTACCTACTGCGATTCTACGGTCCTTTTCTATGCAGTAGGTACCTATCCAATCGTTCCCAAATCATGATTGTTTTACCGGATTACCTATTTTACTCATCAGGACGTGATATTATACATTCAATAGGGCACGTAGGTATTTGTATTATTTTGTAGATTTTGTTATTTGAACGAATTTTAATGTAATTTGTGTATACCAAGTTGGTTTTGTTAAATACTTGTGTTTAATGTTTCCGGTTAATGCGAGGTCTTTAAACCTCAAATTAGTTAATGTCTTAACTAACACAAGACCTACAATCCAACATTCGGCCTTTAAAATTACCTGAACGTTAGGTATGTTCCGTTTGATTGAGAACATGGTCTGTGACTGGCTGCTGACAGTCGAAGTCCAAGAAAAATTCTCAATTGGATAGATTTCCGCTTTATTTGCTGCCTTTTTAAGAACACTTTTCAGTTTGTTCATTAATAAAATAACTGAACACTTTTTAGATTGATTGAGTACCATCAGAATAAAATTAAAAGTGTAAATATTAATTATTATTATAAGACAATTTTAATCTATATAATTCGCACCCCTGAAAGAAAAGTGACACAACTCAAAAAATATGTTTTTCGAGTTAATTATTAGTTATTACCATCAAAATTTGCATTGTTTTAGTAGGTATACTTGAAATAATAATTTAAGTACCATTTTACCATTGTTTTGTTGTAAAACTAATTTTTTTTTTACTTGTGTCATTATTCAGACTTTGATTTATAGCTTTTAGAAAAACTTAAACCATACTTATTAAATCGATTTAAAAAAAGTTCTGGTCATAAAAATTAGAACAGAAATAAAAATTATTACTAAAGCTAATACATCTAATGAGTAGTATTCATACCAGCTTAGATTCAATGCATGAGATTTCAAATGTGGTGCACCTTTGTGCCGAAGAACATACTCGGTCCAGTAAACAACAGATTCTTCAAGCGACATTGGTCGATCTTTGAATATTTTTGAAGCGGTTTCAGCATTTTCCTTGTACCTATTAGAAATTATGTCAGTACCTAATTTTAAATATTTATAATTTAAAAATTATTTACTTTTTATTGTTGAGAAGTTCTAAAATATTTTTTAAGAAACTATCCTTTGTTATAGACAAGAGGTCCATCGAAATAGCCATTCCCGCATTCACTAAATTGTCTAAATTTCTAGGTTGATCACCAGACACGGGGAATCCAAGAACCGGGACCCCAGCGTCTAAGGTTTCGTATACCCCAGATATACCTCCGTGACTGATGAATAGTTTCACATTTGGATGCACTACAAAAAAAAACCCTCAGGTGTAACTTCATTTGATAAAATAGCACATTTAATCGACAATATATTACAAAGTATATCACGCTGTGGTAACCACTTTCTAACCATCACATTTTTCGGTATGTCTTCTAGATCGTTTTCATATTTCCACAACACTTTTTGAGGAATTTGTGCTAGGACTTCCAATAACGCTTTTTTTATTTCTTCCGGTATCGAAGACATTTTTATGGTCGAACCAAAAGTGAAATAAACAACTCCATGTGGTGACTGTTCAATAAATTCTAAATTATAACAATCTGTATTCAAATATTGAGAATGGGACAATTTTTTTTACTATCATAATATACACTTTAAACAAGATTATTGGTTTATATATATTTTAATTTCATTAAGTACATACTTTTGGTAACTTTTGAGCTGTCTTTAAATGAATTCCACCAATGTTGATAACGTTTGTTGGTTTAGAAGTTGGTGCATCAGTTATGAAATGTCTATTTACGAATATCAATGATGGTGAGATAAGTTTGGTTAAATCATATTTTTTCGGATCTGTATATTTCAGAACTAGTTCTTTGTATTCTTGCGCAATTTTGAAGTAAGTAGACAAACACATATTGGTTAATCTTTGAATGAACGTTTTTGGAATAGCATGCAAAGAAAATATATGTGTGTCCGTTGATGGATTTAAGATATGTCCGGTGCTGGCGCGTTCCATAAACCCAATGGTTGGCATTGGTGTAACGTAAATCAAAGGCAAGTTGAGCTTAGTTGCAATGTACGATACGCAATCTGTGGCAAAGTTTTCAATTATAACCAGGTCAAAATCTGTGTTTTTACTATCCAACACTTCTTTCATTTTACTATTTTCATACACTAGATCACACTGCATTCTACTTGTCTCTACCAACAAATCCATCACTGTAAGGACATTAAGCCTCATCTCTTTGATATCCATGTCCAGAAATTTCATATGTCCTTTAGATATATCCACTTCGGTATAGTTTTCGCTGTTACCGTCGGTAAACGGTGTGAATACAGTGACGTTGTGACCCCTGTTCACCAACGCCCGTAGTATACCACTCATAAAGTTCCAGTGGCTTTTACCTCCGACTGTCTCCACGGCTAATATCCTTGCACTCGACGCGGGTTGTATGCACGAACTGGCTAATGCCAAAATCACCATCGATAGTACAGGTAAGAACATTACGTGTTTTAATTTAAAATCCATAATTTAATGATTGATACGACGTTACGTTATAGTTAGTTAATACAATTTGTATGCGAACATAACAGTTGAAGATTGCCACTTCAATACTGTCGCATTCCTCTTGCCGATTTTCGAAGAAACTATTTTGAAACTAGTAAATTATCTAATAGTAGAAATTACTACAGGAATCTGTTTTGAAGTATTTATCTGCAGTGTGAATACAAACACTGATACTCGTACGTACCTACAATATTATACAAACAAGATATCATAATGCGTATGTATTGAGTACTTTATTTTTCAAAATTATTTCGAGAGTTGAAGTGCTCTTGTAATGTTAAATGCTTACTATTAATTAATTGCGCCTTGTAAAGTAGGTGGAGACTCATTTGCGCACATATTAATATATTTTTTAAATATACGACAACTCATTTGCGCACAAAATAGTAAACAATGAAAACCAGCTTTTAGGTACAGTTTTGGGTGTACAGGGTGTCTTAAGCTGTCCAACACGTTACAAGTTCAATATTATTGATATCGATGATCACCCTTAAACAGGTCAATTGGAGTATCTTCAATATAGCCTTATATAGTCTTAAAGCATAACGTGATTTCACATCAGTTCTTATCTATCAAAAATGGCATTAATACTCGCCAAGTACACTAGTCGTGTGGGACAAGCTTTAATCTTTATTATTGATATTATTGCTATATCTTACCCTATTTTTGTTAAATAACATTTTTGTCTATAACATCAGAATATGATGATACAGAAAGTCCTAAGCCTTTTAAAGGGTGAAGGAAAATGTTGTTTGAGTATAATAATTGTCCACTATCAGTATTGACCAAATCGAAAATATGGTGATACGGAGATTATGTACACCCTATAGGTGGATAAAATTCTTGGAAAAAAGGTTTCTATTGTTCGTAAATTGTGCGCAAATGAGTTATGTTTTTGTGCGCAAATGAGTTGTAAAAAAGGTAAATGTGCGCAAATGAGTTGTAGCCGTAAAGTACTGAGATGTATACATTTAACTGTTTAAGACTAAATGGTTAGATTTATCCTGTTTTCAGTTTTGTATATTACACAAATACGCACTAATAATTGATCACGTGTATGCATTTAGTGATACCATACCGTGTTTGTAATTGTTTTGCTTTTTTTTAAAACATCATATTTATATTTTATAATACTTAATAAATAATAGGTTATTATTTATGTTTACAGACTTATAATAATCACGATTGATTAACAATATGTTCAATGTTCAAATTAATCTAGTTCAATCCATCACTTTTGTTCAATACCTTATTGAAAGTTGAAACTAAATAAGGACATTAATTTTAATGATAAGTACCTACAGCTTAGATTTAGTAGGTAGGTATATTAATTCATACTAAAGATACTGATTAATACCTACATATATTTTAGATCTAAAATACAATTAACTAAACTTACAAACTTATTAATATCTTTTAAATATATAAAATGTATTATTATATTTCAGTAAGATGAACATAAAATTAAAACATTTTATTACGTTTTTTTAATTTATAAAATATTGTAATTTGGCGAGTTATAACAATAGTAATAAAAAATAATTCATAACTGTTGAAATTTTAATCTGCACAGAATGTACTAGCTGCATGTCCTGCACTCCTGCCTGACTTTGTCCTAATAAATATATTTGTACAACATTTTTATTTGCGATTTTCTATTATAATAAAATGTATAATGTAGCTGATCCCGCACACCTCGTCACCCGTAAAAAATGTCAACTGTTGTTGTGATTGTTCAACTTCTTTTGGGTGTGACTCGCTGCAGTAAGTTGTAAGTGCAACTCAGGCACTCCGGTATAGGCAATAATACTACGTCGGATCGTGGACAATGTGCGACAGCATATCAAGTAGGCATTGCAAACTTGATTATATGCATGCTTGTTCTGCTCGATTTACCAATTGCAACCAATATACAAATAAAATACTAATTTCTGTTAATTATTATTTCTTCTATAACCAATAGCAATCATTTATAAACAAAAATGTCCATCGTAAAACTAAAAATCCCTGTTTGAGCACCTCCCCGGTTTGAACCTACTGGGTCCAATTGTGAATTTAAATCATCCAAGGAACCACTCAAACACACACAAAAAACTTCATAAAAATCGGTGCAGCCGTTTAGGAATTCATAAATTACATACTGACAAACATTAATTTATATATACATACTATTGTTATTATTTTCGACCACCCAACTAATCTTTCCAAAATAAATTATACATCAAAGTCTCTCCCGTGAATTAACCGGTGCATTAGTGAAAACGGTATTAAAATCCGTTGAGTACTTTTCGAGATAGGCTATGTCTAGTAATAAATATAGCCAATGTTACTCAGGGATAATGAAGCATTGTAATGGTGAATAATTTTTGAAATCGGTCCAGTAGTTTTTGAGTTTATTCGTTGCAAATATAGAAATCTTTCTTCTTTATACTATTATAGTATACATGAAACAGCACTATATACATGGATAGGTATAAAATAATGTATAATAATATGTAGTTATTATATTTTACATGTATTTCTGAATACTGAATGCAAATTAACTTTTTTTTATCTCATTATGTGTTCCTCGTCGAAAGACATTATTCTAAAATTTAACTGCCTACCTATGTGATCAAAATTTCTGACGTATTCTATTGAAGGTTGAGCTTCAGCCTATAATTATATTATATAACATGACAGAATAATTCTTCGATTGTTAAATGAGGGAAATGGGCCAGGTACTTATAGACTACAACACTAATAAATGGATGGTAATACTGTATTTTTATACAAGCAATGGTCGTCGTGGTTGTGGGTTCGGTGGGGTTTTGTAAGTAGCAATTCTTCTTCTACATATTTAGTTATGATTTTCCATCCTCCATTTATTTTGTTTAAAATAATTCGTTTAACTTATCCTTTGAAAAATGAATTGTTTTTATAATTTGTGGACCTTATAAGCGAGATGTTGACTATTTGTTTTTGTAATTAAGTGTATAAATTAATTAATCTTATAAAAAAATTTTGTTTTCTAAAATTTTAAAATTTGACAACGAAAGTAAGTAAACCAGAACGTCGGTTAGTCACTAAAGATATAATTTCACATCTCCAATAATAATATAATGAGTGGGTTGATTATTATTCACTAATAACTGAGATAAATATCAGCACATAGGTATTACCATACCGGGTGGAGGCGATTCTCGGGCGGAAGGAGGATGCAGAGCGGGTTAGGCAGGCGCGATTATTTTAATGGTGACTGAGTTTGTGGGCCGAAGGCCAAATACCTAGGGTGGTTAGAGGCCCCCACGTATGTACTACTATTTTGTAGTGACGGTGAATAAACGATACGGGCTCGGGTGGCAGTATTGTGCTAAACAGTTCCCACCCGTTCCTGTTTATAAAATAAAAAAAAAAAAAAAAGGTATTACCATACCGATAACTGCTGTACTGAAGCATATGAAAACAAAAAATGTGGGAATTAGCTGGATTAGTTTCAATACTTAACTTATTTTCGATGCATTCTAATTTATACCGGGATGAAACTAAAATAATATACCTATTAGGTCCCAATTACGAACTAAAATCTTGGTCTGTGGTTCCGGTATTATACAGAAAAATATACCAATTGAGCCGAACTTGGGAAATGTATAATATATCAATAGGTAGGTAGATTTTTTACTTTGGTAAATGTCATATAGGTACTTTAGTACTTATTGTGCATTTCTATAGTTTTAAATGAAATATTGAAATAGATATACCAACACTATTAAACATTACCTACCAACAATACACTATAATATATTACAACTATTTACCAAATATTTCCAAATTAACATTAAAAAAAAATGTTTTGCTTATTATTTTTAGCCATTTTGCCCACCATTACATATTAGTGAACGATTTTCTTGATAAATAGAATAAATATTTTTCACAATAAATTAACACGAACTACCTGTATCAATAATGTAAACCATTTTTATAATAATAGCAATAACAATTCGTAGTTATTGCGTAAAAAGGTGACACATAATTGTTATTGAGCACGCACAAATGTTTGAATAAATAATAAATCTAAAATCATAATATCTATTAAATTACCCACAGGCGTGAACATTTTAATATTTGAACTCTGAAATATTTATGTTAGAGGAATATCGAAATAATGAACTCGATTTACTTCAGTGATGGAAAACATAATTTTATTAAAATGACGACTGTTTTTAAATCAACTCTTGTGCCTGTCTTAGCTTTAGGCAAGATTTTTGGTTTGATTAACATATCTTATATACTTGATCCAGATGGATTATTGACTTTGAATTTACACTCAACATATTATTATTCATTCCTTGAATTTACACGGATGATTGTGTTGTTAATATTCACATATATGGTTTTTATCGAAGAGTTGTATTATATCATACATTACCGTTTAGTTAAATTTTGGATAGCTATTATTGCAGCAAGATTATCAGAAATATGGACAGTAAAGTAAGAATGATAAATAATTATACCTAAATTATTTAAAATTTTTAAAACATCATCGAGGATAAAATGCCCAAGATCAGGACTCAAACTTTAAGACAGTGAACATATTATACCAATTACCTAATATAGTAGATACAATACTATAGATAGAAGTAGTAGTAGTTAGTATTATAATTCCTATGTACATAAGTAAAAATTATTGTTGATTAGTCAACAGTTGTTATTATATTTTACACAGTCAATACAGATAAATATTACACTTTTTATAATTGAACACTAAACATTTAGTTAAAGACTTTTTGTACATATTGACTATTTACAATAGGGTCTATTTTATATATATTTGCTGATTTTAATATCTGATTAATCAGTGAATTTGAATTTAAAAATGTGGTATTAGAGTTAGGGCAGAATAAATTGATATAACGTAACTCGAGTTCGTTTATTTTAAGATGTATCATTGCTAATAGTTCAAAACAATATATGCAATAATGTATTGCTTTATACTAAAAAATTAGATTTGATTTTATACGTCGTATATTTAACATGTCTAAATTTACACAAATTGAATAAATTAATTGTATACGATGAATGTGGAGTTCTATAAATATTGCAATTAAAGGAAACAAACCGCAGAAATCGTGTTTGAATAGATTCTAAAGAGATGAATTATATTCGAGACATGAACGAAAGAGATAACAGTAAAGTATTTTAAAATTATAATGTTAGGTATTACAATTATTACAATGTCTTCTAATGAATATTATTATCATTATTGTCGTTTTGAAATAAAAAAAATGAACCGTTAAATTATGTTATTATTAATTATATTTATTATTCGGCATATTTAAATATAATTCAATATAATAATAATATATTATATGAAATAGATATAAGTATTATTTGTTGTACAAAGAAATGTTTATTAATTTTTGTATAATATTTTTGTAGATTGATTAATGGCATTATACAATTCGATCGAAAACTGGCATTATTATCACCGGCATTTACGGTTCACCAGCATTTAATAAGTAAAAAGAAGTGGAATATCATATTGACTTCATTATTTTTATACTTCGTTTTTTACGAAGTATATGACATATATTTGTGGCCACCGAACACATTTGATATTAACACTTTCCTCTTTTTTTTTTTCGGAATGCCATTTGTTTTGGACTATGTGATTATTATAACCGTATGTTTTTATCTCAGTAATATCGGGTGTAGATTTCAAATATTAAACGATTTCTGGACGTGCCTTCTTCCTGGATTAGTATCCATCTCGGGCGAATGGACAGATTCTGAATTAGTTATGTTAATGGAGAGCATTAGGTTGTTACATGCCGAACTATCTCAGTTGTTCAAAATATTCAGTTGCAGTTACGGTACACTGCTATTAGTATTTTTTGTTTGCTGCATTATCGATGTTATATATTTAATTTATTTAATGATCAAGCTCGAAAATGTTATAAGACATGTACCATTGCACATGCTAAATATTCAAGTCGTTGTTTTTTTGATGTCCGTCATCCTCGCTGCCTCGTGGATAAATGAAAAGGTACCAATTAATAATTATACATATTATATATTATATTATACCTACGTCGATTTCAATATATAGTATTTTTACTAGCGATATTAACTAATTACTAATCAGCGATTTGCAATGCCTATTCTTATAATCTAATTATTATTAACTTAACATCCGTCAAACACAAAGTTCATTGAAACGATAAAATTTACGATGTCAGTAGGCCAATAATAATTGTTCAATAATGATTTTAGAAAATGAAAATGGTATCGTATTTACGATTGACTCCGATTTCAAAACTACCTGTAGAAGTAAAACTACAAGTAAGATATATTTTATACCACTATTTCGTTGGTATTTAAAAGGTATACTAAAGTGCATATTATATTTAAAAATTTAGTTTTATAGTGTAACACTAAAACATTATCACCTGGCATAAATATTTTTATTTTATACTTTTATCGCCACCGTAAATTCTAAAATAGTGTAGAAAACGCTATTGTTATTTTATCATTACATTATTTTCGATAATATTTAGGTACTATTATCTTGGTAGTTTAATATAAATGGATTATTATATTGGTTTTTTATCTGTCTTATGATTTACGAATTACCTATTTATGGTTACCTATATTATTAACTATGGTTAATTTATGAATAGATCAAAATGTTTCTGTATCAAATATCAATGTTGGAATCAGATGAAATAAGTGCTTTTGGGTTTTTCAATATAAATTTGAATTTAGTTGTGTCAGTAAGTATTTTTCTAAAATAATGCATACTTTATTTGTATATCCTCTATCATATATTCGTAGTAGGAATAGTGGTCATACATTTATTTATCGGCAATTTAAATGATCAAATTGTATATTTATTTTTTTTATACATAGATTGCCATGTTACTCATGACTGGATTTTCTACCCTTGTACAGATGAAAGATCACCCCATTATTTTAGCGTTGGTCAATAACACACACATATATCACAGCAATTGGGTAAGAAATCTTATATAACCTCTAACAATATTTCAAGTACACAAACTCAATTTAAGAATTGATGGATTTTGTTTGATAATATAATATTATATCTTACATAATTTTCTTTTTATAAATTATATTTACACTCCAACTCAAAACTCAGTGGCACAGCTTATCCATTTATTCATTTTTTCAAGAGGCCGATAAAAATTATAAATAATTAGTACAATATATAAACTTATTGTATAGTGTTACACTACAAGAATAAACATTATTCAATTAGATTTGGAAACCTAGCTGTTTATTTAATATAATAGAAAATAAAGTTAAGAAGACAGCCCAAGGGGAGGTGAAGGGGCCTTCGCCCCCCTCGTATCCATCACTGTGTTTAAACTGAATTAATTTTCCACTAACTCCCTTTGAAATATATTTTATTGTCCATGACTACTTTGTTTAGGATAAATTAAGTGCATTTTATATGGATAATTTTAGTTTAAATATAACAAACCGGTAATTGGGTGTAATCGTAATTGCTCTTATACGAAAAACGATTTTGAACGGAGACGGTTTGTCAGCCTATAGGATATTTTATATTATATTTTTATTGTTATTATTTATACGGTGCCGGTAAGTTGAATTAATATTAATTGCATATTATCATATTTCAATATTTGCATATAATAATATACTTGAGAAATTTCAAGTACCCATAAATAATATTTTTAAATTACAACAAATTAACTAAAATCGTTATTATTGGTTACTTAATATGTATTATATCCAAATTTAAATATACTTAAAAATAACTATTAAAAAAACTGTGTTTTTACATATTTTATATTTTTGGGATACAAAATAGCCTAAATAACCTACCTCTTGAAAATTGTATACATTTTTAACTACAAAATCATAATTAAATTTTTAATTTAAAAAAAAATTGTGACTGTATTTTTAATATTTTTGAACTGTCATTGTGACAGTATATTAGGAGCCTTCTCCTAATTTTTAAGCTTTTTGACCCAACAAGTAAAATTTTATTGACATTTATCGAAAAAAAAACTAAACAAAATTGGAAACTGAAAATGTTCGTAAACAGCTCAAAACAAGTCGAAATATTGGAAAAATGTTATGGTGTATAGTAAATGTTAATATAAACATTCAGTGAAAATGTCATGTTTTATAATTTATTTATAGTTACACCGAAATCCAAAATCCTTGTTCAAAACCGATTTTGAGTAAAAATTCCAATTTTTCTTAAAGTTTTTGAATTCTACTATTAAATTTTAACCTCCTGAACCTACCAACTAGATTCACTTTCCCATCAAACAAGATACTGTTAAAAAAAATCGAAGGAATTTTATTGCTCCAAAAGGTGATGAGACAAAAAAATTTTAAAATTTTAAAAAACACCCATCATTGTAACATCGCTCCGCTCAGAATCTAAAATCGAATGATATATAAAATAAAAATATTCACCAGCTAGTTTTTAAGTGAATATATTAAATTCTTCGATTTTTTTTAATAAAATCATAATGTATTTTATGTATTATGTGTACTATTTAAATATAAATTGTATAATACATTATATTTAATAGATAATATGAAACTTTATTTTTAGGAAAATGTGTATGCTAGCAACTATTCAAAGAATGTTACATCTCATTAAAAGCACAAGTTTTTATTCATTAATTAACTGTTATTAACAATATTTTAAGACGTATTTTAATAAAATATATAAGTAGAAAGTAGTAGATAAATACTTATACATGTAAGTAAGCACCTGACACTAAAACCACTACACAACTTGTTAAAATCTGCCATTTATAGAAATTATATTATTATAATATTTTAACTAAGTAACAATATCTTATTTGTACCAATTTTATTATTTTCTTTATTTTGCATCTTAATTAAATGATAAGTTAGTAATTATTAATATCACTAGTAAACTTGCTGTTGATGTGTATATATAAATAATAAATATTAATAATTAAAAAAACGTTTGAAATCATTGTATTCTATAACGTATTTAAAATAATGTACTTACTTAATTTTAGATATTGAGTAATCATTTTTTCCTTTTTCTTTATGATAGCAATATTATTATCAAAATCGTTAGGTCTATAAGAATTATATGAGTCCAATCAGGGCTCGAAATGGACCAGAACGCACCGGAACGCAGTTCCGGTTCACGACAAAAAATTTTTTAGCGTTCCGGTTCGTAAAAAACATATGTTTATCGTTCTGGTTCAAACAAATTTTTACTGTAACTACCATATTTTTATAAAATTTAAACATTTTGCAGAATTGTGCATTGTAAAATATTTAATAAACGACAAACGACCGCGACGGCGACGCATTAGTAAATTTATTGCTTATCTTTAGATAATCGTCGTCCGCCGATAGTGTAGTTTGTCTATATATTCACACGATACGTACCTATGTGTATTTTTAACGTGCGATAAGAAATACTATGGAACGGTGCATAAGACGTTTTGACATCCCCACGATTGATACTCGTATGTTTTGATCAGCGTTTACCGTTTAGTATCGTTTAAGCTGCAGTAATACATGTATTATATTTTGCCGATCATTAATTACATTAGTTTATAACTTGTATTATTCCGTGCGAAAAATATGAGTTCTCCTTTACTAAATTTGGTAAATAAACGTTCCAAGTCCAATGAATGTCATAATTCGTCAAATAAAAAACTGTCCGTTGAAAGTGAACATATATTATCTAATAAATAATCAAATTAAAATATGGAACTTCACGAAAGTAGTGACTTACCCGAATGTTGGAATAAAGGTCAGTACGAAATGACTGTAAATGAGTGGCTATAGTAGTTAAAAATGAAGCATTAGGTTGTTTGATTTGTAAAAATATAACAAATTTAGGATTATCTGTTGTTGATAAAACTCTTCGCTTTACCAAACCTTGGCAAGACTGTTCTATAATTTCGAATGGAAAGTCAAAAGAAACTCAAATGTTTAGTTTGAGAAAAAAAAATATTTGAACACAAAACATCTGACGCTCATCTTAGAGCAGTAGAATTACATAAACAATCAAAAGAAAAACAAATAGAAAAAAGTTTCGAAAATGCATTGAAATCAAAGTTCTCTACTACTGAAAAAGTTTTTAGAACAGTTTATAAAATTGTAAAAACTCAAAGGTCTTTTGTTGATTTACCAAATGAAATAGATTTACAAGTTTTAAATGGTATAAATATGGGAAACATTTTACATTCCGATAAAATGTGTGCGGATAAAGCACTCCACATTGAATCAGAGATGAAAAAAAATATTTGCAAAAATATAATTTTAACTAAAACAAAAATATCTATTTTAATCGACGAATCAACTAATCTTAGTAAATTAACAATATTAGTAGTTGTTGTTCGTACATTTATTGAAGATTTTCCCGGTGAACCTTATACTTTTAATCTTGACTTAATTGAACTCCTTAATACCTCTGCTGAAATTATTACTAAATCATTACTTGATTGTTTGGGTGGACACGGTTTGATAAAAATTTTTTAAATTTATGTTTTATTGCTTTTGCATGTGACGGAGCTTCTGTTATGATCGGAAAAGATTCGGGAGTAGCCACGCGACTTAAAATTCAATTTCCTAAATGAATTATTTGGCATTGTTCAAATCACCGCTTGGAACTGGCAGTAGGTGATGTTGTTGGTGAAGTTTGTGGTATAAACCATTTTAAAATATTTATGGATAAACTTTATACTTTATTCCACCAGTCACCTAAAAACCAAAACGAGTTAAAAAAAAGGTGGGCAAGTGGGTGTCGCTCTGCTGTACAGTAGGTTACAAGTGGGTCACTGTATAATGGATGATATTAAATTTGAATTCAACGATATAATATCATTGTATAAGAAAAACGATTCTGAGCGGAGACGGTATGTCAGTCTATGTATAAGACATATTATATACATGTATATGGTTTTAAACAAAAAATTGACCTATAATAGGAATAGGTACCTATAATAAATTCCAAATTAATCATATCACAATATCCATTAGGTACTGGTAACGCGTTATACATCAACAAAAACTGTGAATTGTGATGCTATCATAGATATATAATAGTACACTTTAGAAGTTTCAAGTACCCACGAATAATATTATTCAATCACAACAAAATAACTAAAATAGTTATTCTAGGTTTTTTAATATGTAATTTCGTCCAAATTTGAATTTAAAATGTCTGAATTTGCAATCCTTAGCTATAAAAACTGAACATTTTATAATTTATTAATTACAATGATTGATAATTTTCGAGATTTTGATAAATTTTGTTAAAATTTGATCTTTAAATGCTTATAAAAAAAAACTGTGCCTATGTATTTTTAATATTTTTCAACTGCTATTGTAACAATATATCAGGAGCCTTGTATTAAATTTTTACACTTTTTGGCCCAACAGATAAAACTTTATTGATATTTATAGAAAAAAAAACTAAAAAAAATTGAAAGCTTTAAATGTCCATAAACAGCTCAAAAAGAGTCAAAATATTTTCAAAATTGTATGGTGTATAGAAAATGCTAATTTAAACATTCAGTGAAATTATCATGTATCTACAGTTGTTCGTTTTTGAATTACAACAAAATAAGGAAATCGCTACATGAGTAATCGAGTGAAAATCCAATGTTGTAAAAATTTGAATTTCAAACGCTCATAAAAATTTAATTTGACTGTCCGGTAGAGATTTTTTATTGATAAAGGTAGATAATCTTATAAGGAATCTCGTGTTTCATTTTAAAATCTTAGATTTAAAAAGAAAAATTTTTACGAATTCATAACTCAAAATAATTTGCTAATTTTCGTGATTTTTCCATATTTTGTCAATTTTTGAACTTTAAATGCTTACCTATAAAAAAAAATTGTGACTAAGGATTTTTAATATTTTTCATCTGCCTTTGAAACAATACATTAGGAGCCTTCTATTAAATTTTCAAGCTTTCGCAACCAACAAATAAAATTTTATTGATATTTTTAGAAAAAAAACTAAAAAAAAATGGAAAATGAAAATGTCCCTAAACAGTTCAAATAAATCAAAATATTTTCAAAATTGTATGGTGTATAGAAATTGCAAATATAAACAACCAGTGAAAATTTCATGTATATACGTTCATTTGTTTTAGAGTTACACCAATAACCAAAATCGATTTTTTGGAAAACCAATTTTGCGTAAAAATTCCCGTTTTTCCTTAATTTTTATTTTGTTTTTCCCGGCGCTTGTGAAAACTACTGGGAAATTTATACTTTTGACCCCTCAAAGTACCAACTAGATTCACTTTCCTATCAGAAAAGCTACTGATGAAGAAAATCCAAGCACTTTTACTGTCCTAAAACTTGATGACAGACACAAAAAAAAAAAAAAAATATAAAAAGTGGGTGTCGCTCTGCTGTACAGTAGGTTACAAGTGGGTCACTGTATAATGGATGGTATTAAATTTGAATTCAATGATATAATATCATTGTATAAGAAAAACGATTCTGAGCGGTGATGGTATGTCAGTCTATGTATAAGGCATATTATATACATATCTATGGTATTAAACAAAAAATTGACCTATAATAGGTACCTATAATAAATTCCAAATTAATCATATCACAATATCCATTAGATACTTATAACGCGTTATACATCAACAAAAACCGTGATACTATCATAGATATATAATAGTACACTTTAGAAGTTTCAAGTACCCACGAATAGTATTATTCAATCACAACAAAATAACTAAAATCGTAATTCTTGGTTTAAATATGAAATTTTGTCTAAATTTGAAATTAAAATGTCTGTAAAAAATAAGTGTGTTTATATATTTATTAGATTTTTTGGTTACAGTATGAATTATTTAAGAGAATCTTTGTTTTAAATTTTCAACTCTTAGTTATAAAAACTGAACATTTTATAATTTTTTAATTCCAACGATTGATAATTTTCGAGATTTTGATAAATTTTGTCAAAATTCCAACTTTAAATGCTTATAAAAAAAAATCGTGCCTATGTATTTTTAATATTTTTCAACTGCTATTGTAACAATATATCAGGAGCCTTGTATTACATTTTTACACTTTTTGGCCAAACAGATAAAACTTTATTGATACTTATAGAAAAAAAAACTAAAAAAAATTGAAAGCTGTAAATGTCCATAAACAGCTCAAAAAGAGTCAAAATATTTTCAAAATTGTATGGTGTATAGAAGATGCTAATTTAAACATTCAGTGAAATTTTCATGTATCTACAGTTGTTCGTTTTTGAATTGCAACAAAATAAGAAAATCGCTACATGAGTAATCGAGTGAAAATCCAATGTTGTAAAAATTTGAATTTCAAACGCTCATAAAAATTTAATTTGACTGTCCGGTAGAGATTTTTTTATTGATAAAGGTAGATAATCTTATAAGGAATCTTGTGCTTCATTTTCAAATCTTAGATTTAAAAATAAAAATTTTTACGAATTCTTAACTCAAAATAATTCGCTAATTTTCGTGATTTTTCCATATTTTGTCAATTTTTGAACTTTAAATGCTTATAAAAAAAATTGTGACTAAGGATTTTTAATATTTTTCATCTGCCTTTGAAACAACATATTAGGAGCCTTCTATTAAATTTTCAAGCTTTCGCAACCAATAAATA